GGACTTACGCTCTCCAAAGAGATTACGTGATATTTCCGGTACGGAAGACAATTAGGTCACTAACCCCGATCTTAAATCTTAAATTCCGTTGCGGGCAACAGTGTCGTATGGGTGCAGAGGCGAGGTCTAACTATTTTTTTCTCCCGCTACGTCTCACCCAAGAAGCCCAGAGTAAAGTACTACTAGATGGTCGATTCTCGAATATTTTTATATAAAAAAATAGATGGTCAAAAGCAGAGTACCCGTCCTTCGTACGGGGTCAGCTTTTAAGTATAAAATGCTTATTGCAATTATTGGAGGGGACACAATTTAAGAATATTTGGTCTTTTAATTTATACGGTATCCTATAGTGTAGCACACATCTAGCATAGCCATAATGTTCTATCACTGCACCTAAACAATAAAAAATTTTGTTCTCATTGTGTACCACAGCTTTTTGTTGCTAGTTGGTCAAAATCAGCTGTTGTCATAAATGCAAAAAAATAATAGTGCTTTCCCCTGTTGGTAACTTTTTTAATGCTATTTATCATAGAACCAACTGGTTAAGTTGAAACAGCTAAGAAAATGAATTAATTCCTTTTAAATATAAATACTCATAAGGTTAACATGGGAAACTATAGAGCCTCTGGGGCGGAGCCCTAAAGGATTTTTGAGAATAAGAATATGTCTATATTTTAATCGGGAATGTGAGCTATCATCATACCAAATTTTAACCCTTTTGGTTTAGTAGTATTTTTCGCGTTTACTTGTCACAAACATACATCCGTGCATCCAAACTTTCTCACTTATAACATAAGTAGGAAATGGGATTACCTATAAACACAGTATATTTTAGGGGGAAAATATTCTTATCTTTCAAATTTTTATAAAGATAACTAGCTTTTACTTACTAAACAATCTTTTACTGTGGCTCACAAAATATTTAAATACAAAATTAAATTGGTCCTGGATATAGGACTTAGCTTGGCACCTACGATAATAGCTACTTCCGTATACAGTATCAAAATTCTCTAATATGAATTTCCATGACTTGTACATCTTATGATATCAACGTAAAATATATTTTAAATTAACAATTCGTCATTTCATTAACAAAAGTTTTGACTTTCGTTTTAGCCTATGAGAACTACAAAACATATTTTTATTTTAAGATTTTATAAAACAATACTGCAAGACCAAATAGGCCTAAACCAAATCCTATGGTTAATTGAAATGTAATCCCGTGGAAATTCAGTGGAAGTTACGAGATAGCCGTAGGCCTAATCCTTGAATAACAAAGTTAAGATTTAACTGTTCCTAAATCCTAAGTAAAATTCTTTATAAAGGTAAATTTTAGGTATGTGGCTTTATGACAAAGTATGAACTAATATATCAATTATTTTGCTTAAAAACAATCTTAAAACAGTGTTTAAGGACCATAACTCAGAAAACACTTATTTGTGGTAACTAATCAGGACAAAAGTCAAATTACACACAGTTTTAGCCAATTTATAATGTAGGAATACCACGTTAGTAGTAACAGCTTAAAACACTGTGAATGAACTTTAAGAAAATTTTTTGTCTAAAAAATAATAAAAACTTCTTAATCTAAGAAACTAAACATATTCGTTATGCTATGTAACTCATATTTGACTAAAGTTTACTTAAAATCATAATTAATGTTCAGAACCAGGTTTACTCAAGTATAGTTTCTTAGTCTTGGATGCATTAATTTGTAAAATTCTAAATGGGCCATCCAAAAAACTAATGAGATAAACAGAACTGATAAATAGGGTGCGTTATTAAAGATTCCCTGTACTTAACAATCAATTTTTTGAGTTAAGTCCCGTTGTTTGTAAGGGTCTGTATAACCAAACTCATATCTTATTTCAGTAACACAAATGGACAGTAGGGCCTATTTAACACTAGTTAATTATATCATGAGAGTGCTAAGATTTTAATGACACTTTTATTTGATAACAAAAAGAAACAAAACCAAGTCAGAATGGAATGTGTTCGATAGGTGTAAAATCTAAATAGTATGACAAATCATAAAATATTTTAACCGTGAGTGAATCGTACTTGGTAAAAATTATTATTTAAAAAGTCATTACAGAGTTTATTAACGTTATTTATACATGTCTACTTGTTACCGGTTTTGATGACAATGTTTATTGTGGAACATAATACCCTAGAGTAAGATTTAGAAAAAAACCAACATGAGGATGGCTCAGAGCTAAGTGGATGTTGTCAAAGTGATAAAAATCCCGTTCGATAATCATATCACTAACTCTTTGAGTTATCAATTTTACATGACTAATAGTCAATATAATCGGATTTCATTTGCGCTATTCATGCTGCTCTTCAACAGTGGTCTCTCTGTTTTAATTTCATAATATGAAATAGTCGAATAATGTAATAAATTCAGTAATGTAATTTTCTTATGATGGAGCTTTAATCTTGTTTAAATTTGAATGAATTGTATCAATAATGAATTTTAAGATTCGTTAATTATTTCTTTTTATATTTGCAACTAGATGAATATTGATATTCCTAAGTAGGAAAATAGTTTTAAATGAGTACCATTGTATTACATTTCTGTGGCTTTTCATCAAAAATATATTATTCACATCATAACAATGTATTAAAGTGGACTGTTCCACATCGTTGTTTGAGCTGTAACAGGTAATGCAATTTCAGCAACTCCGCATCGCTGGGCGTGGTATACATATAAATAGTTCATATTACAGTCTTTACTGCCTTGTAATAACAGTTTATATTGTTCAGCCTTGATATATTACATCCAAGGAATTTAAAGTTCTTATTTTATGTAATTCGATGCGTAAGTACAACATAGCTACTGACCGTTCCTACTCTACCGGACATTTTTCATGTATAATATATAACATAACAATAATTAATAGCTTTTTTGTTTTTGTAAAACTACTACCGTAATCAGTATCCTGGTATGGTTAGTAATTTTCTTTTTAAGTTATCTATATATTAATAGGCAAGCATGTTTCTCGAAACCCTTTTTTTCTCAGCTCGTGTACATTGCAGGGAAAATCTACACATATATTGTTACAAAGATGTTCACATGAAGATGTGCAGAATCCTTTAAGCATACCTAATACTCGTATTACTTAGTTGATATTTTTGACAGCTTCAGTAAATTCACTACGTAACTAAGCAGTAAGTATGCCACTTGACCTTTGAAATAGCATATATATATATATATTAATAGCTATTTCATTAAAAAGTAGTGTAAAATTATCTAAATAGTCATAGTATAAAGAAATCTAGGGAAGAAACTGTAAATGCTACTGGGGAAGAGCCACAAGAGGCTTTACCTAGTTTCTCTTTTGATGGCTCGGGGCTCATCTACAGACCAAAACCTTTCTTTGGACACCTCTGCCAAATTTTACGACAAGCCGTTCTCTCAAATTACAGTAGTTGCCACAAGAAAAAACATGTAGCGTATTAACAACATAGATTGTAGCTCCCGTATAGAAATGATCCAGAATTAAAGCATTTTAAAATATCTAGGCTGAATACGTTAATTGCTTAGTGAATTTGAAGTAGCAAATAATTTAGTAACATACATACATAGTAATATACATCCTTTTTATTAAAGAAAAATGCGAAAACCTCTTAGTTAATTTATGCTGAAAGGAAACAGGAAGGAAACAGCTATGCTAGTTAATGAGATTAAATCCTATTATAAATAAGTATAACTATAACAACTATACCACCGTAAACGGTGCACTACAGCTAAATTTTTAATAGTAATTTGATACGGCTTTTATTATTTTTCTGGCTTATTGAGTATGATAACGTGTATTTAATGATGTGATGTGTTAATTAATAACCTAACTAAGCCTTGCGTTTATTGCTGCGACATTATACTGGATACTGCAGTTTTCACTGACGTATGCGATGTAAAAAAAGCCTAAATTGACATGCTTTACACAACATATAGCCTTTATATATTTTTTCTACGTATTCTGTCTCACAAACGTGGAACTAGAAAATCAGCTTAAGGTAATCATTTGTAACTATTTATTAGTTCTACGGCTCTCTTTCGATGGTTTACCACTCTAGTGTGTTTTATTGGGTGGTGTTAACAGATAACGGATTTATAAGATATTACATATGAGTAATGGCGTCATTGTACACTTAATAATTAAAGAGCCCTAGTATGGTATATCATTCAGAATTTCTTTAAACAATAGGCTCCTAAGTTTTTGAACTATTATTTTACAACGTTCGCAGCTAATTATAAATCGACATTACGTTTAAGTAAAAGTTTCCATGCGAACAGGGCGGAGAGAAGTTTCAGATGTGACAAATGATTACTCGTGTAAAACCCTGAATACGAAATGACGGCTACGACAGCTAACTAACGCCGAGTAGAATAAATGTTGGAGTAGGATCGAACACTTGCGTATCAGCTAAATCACAAACCTAATATTGTTATGTTTTTTATTCTTTCCTGTACCGTAGACTAAAACCATTAAACATAATTTAAGAATATCCGAAAAATCTATTGAATTAGCCTATTCAATTCGTTAAGTAGTACAGAATACAAAAAAAAACTGTTAACATATGTTTTATTTACATTTTATTTCTAAAATGTGTTCAAATTATTATTTTGTTTACTTATTGAATTGTTTATGTTTACTTACAGATTGTGATTTAATAAAAACTTACCTTCTATTTTCTTATACAAAATGTGAACTTTTATTACTAAAATTAGTGGAATCAACAATGGCGACGAGTAAAATGGTAAATACTCTCAAATCGATAAGAGGCCTTGGGAATATATTGGGGCCTGAAAAAGTTTTTCCTTTTTTGTTGTGGCCGCAAATTTACTTTGATCACTGATCACAAACCGCTGGTGTCAATTTTTAATCCAGCAAAGACCTTACCAACAATCTCGGCAACACGGATATTCAACTATGCTCACTTTCTCTCCGGGTTCGACTATGACATAGAGTACAGGCAAATTGCTCATCATTGCAATGCAGATTATCTCTCTCGATGACCTCTCGAAGTACCACATAAATCAACTGGAAACACTCAATATCAACAGTACCGTGGTGGCTAAGGAAACTCTTAACGATGCTGTTTTGGGTCCAGTCCTACAGGCCTTGAAATCGGGACAATCTGTTGAACAATACGGATTTCACGATAACGAGCTGTCCATTCAAGATGATTGTGTACTGAAGGGCTGGAGAGTCATGATACCTCAATCTCTCAGACCTCATGTGCTTCGAGAACTACACGTAGCTCATTTAGGAGGAATAAAAATGAAGGCTTTAGCTCGCAGTTTTTGCTGGTGGAGAAGTATAAACAAGGATATTGAAGATATGGTAACTGAATGTCAACAATGCATTGAAAAATGCAACAACCCAAGAAAAACTATCCATCCATGGGAACAACCTTCTAATCCATGGGAGAGGGTGCACATTGATTTCTTAGGGCCAACAGATGGCCAACAGTACCTGATATTAGTGGATGCCTTTAGTAAGTGGGTGGATGTGATACAGACGAAAACAACTACAAGGACAGTCCAAGAATTACGGAAAATCTTCTCAACTTTTGGGTTTCCTCACATCTTAGTTTCAGATAATGGAAAACAGTTTCTCAAGAGTGCAAAAACTTCATGAATGAATGTGGGATTATTCACAGATCAACGGCACCATTGAATGATTTGTAGGGAATGGTTATTAAAATTATAGGGAATGATTGAAAAATGGGAATAGAAATGAGAAAGGGGTTTAATGATAATTAGTTCGAAGGACCAGAGAGATAATATGTAGAGATATGGAAATAATAAATTGAGATTATGAGAGGGAGAAAAAATGATCACACTTTTAATGGTTACAAAAGAACAAGAACTCAGATTTATTTACATTTTTGAATACAACATATGTTAACAATATAATAATTTAATTTGATTAAGAACACATGTTGCAAGGAATAGTATATTTCATTACTAGGACCGAAAGTGGCATTTTCCGTCTCGCGCTCAAGTTTTTGTGTGAGGCGAAGCCGAACACAGGGAACATCAATTTCACGTGCGAGGCGAAGCCGAGTATGTGAGAGCTATTTTCACGCACGAGGCGAAGCCGAGGACGGGAATAATGGAGTAAGTGCCGGATAATAACTTTAGGTACGAGTTATGAACGATACTTTTCATCACGACGCAAAAATACACAAACACAGAATAGCAGACCTCAGTAATATTACAACTATTTTATTTCTCAATTAATTTGATTGAACATCAAAATAAAATAAAATTTTCTAAAAGGAAACCTACGTATATTTCTCAATACATTTTGTATAAATATCAAAATAAAAGAATAAAACAACTTTGAACAATACATACAGCTGATTCAAATCATTAAATTAAACCATAACAAAACACTAGCGCGCGTAGTGCATAAATAGAGAACTCGTTGAGAGCGAGGGAAAGTAAATTTAGAGCGAGGGAAAATCAGCTGATCGATTTTCCCTCGCTCTAAATTAGAGCTTGGGAAACGACTACTTTCATTGATGTCAGCTGTTATCGAAAGTAGTTACTTTCGTTACGGAGTGATGAAAAATATATTGTACATTGAAGAAAACATAGAGTGTTATATTATATGGAATGGTTCAAGCTGACAAAACAACTATACCATCCAAACTCAAATGGCCAGGCTGAAAGGTAAGTGCAGACTGTCAAGAAGGCGTTGTAATCCATGGAGGGAGAAAAGAGTACACTGCAAAATAAAATCCAAAGACTTCTAATGCAACTCAGGCAATCCCCTAATTCAACAGGTACATCAGCATATCACTTAATGTTTGGAAGGAGTGTACGAACAAACCTCGCAATAATTGTTTTAACATTAGAACCGAACAAATATCAGAAGAAGGGAGTCCAAGTCGGTATAAAAAGGAATTTCAAAGTTGGAGATAAAGTGCAAGCGCGGGAATATGTCAATGGTTTGTCCAAGTGGTATTCGGGCTATATAACTCAAAAGCAAGGACATGTAATGTACGTAGTTCAGCTGGAAGATGGACGAATAATAAGAAGACATGTTGACCAGCTGATTCTTCGTAAAGTGCCGCAGCACAGTAAATAGAGGAGAAGGTGTTAACATATGTTTTATTTACATTTTATTTCTAACATAAATTCAAATTATTATTTTGTTTACTTATTGAATTGTTTATGTTTACTTACAGATTGTGATTTAATAAAAACTTACCTTCTATTTTCTTATACAAAATGTGAACTTTTATTACTAAAATTAGTGGAATCAACAGAACCAAAAGGGTTATTACTTAAAAAAATATAGCATAGGTATAAGCTGTGTTGCTAAGGTGGTAGACTTTTAAAAAGTAAATGTTATGTCATTGGTTACTTAAGATTATTCTAATCACGCCCTTGGCTATTCTTGAACACTAGTTTCGTCCGTGTTAGGCCAATATCACGCGCTTAAAAATAGTGTTACGTTTTAAAATTGCTCAACTTAAATAACCCTGTAAAATAAGAAATAGTGTTATGCTTATCTCATGGTTATAATTTTACGATGTATACAATAATTAAGCATGGTTGTCGTAAGGGGTTGTTAAGACTACATGATTGGCAATCTAAATTAAAGATTATGTTTAAAGGGTTTATTAAAGACTTAAAACTACTGTCTAATTTACAGAATAGAACTTAGGCTAATAATTAGATTTTTTCTTTCATAATATTAACCAATGTCGCATGACAGTTGTTGGAATTCTTAACTCTTTCTTAAAATATAATTTTCTTTAGATTAAACAAGTTGGTGGATTAATTAACCCTTTTGGTTGGTTTAATCTTTTTCATTATAGTTTAAACACTAAGTTGGGGGGCTACCAAAATTATACACTTATTATGTTCGTCAAAAAAAATGTCCATTCTTACCACCGGAAGGAATATCGTAATTATTGGAAATATCGTCTTTTTTAAACACGTTTAAACGAAATGGGGAACAAAAAATGTTTTGGTCCATATTGAATATTATATTGGCAGTGTTAAATAAGTATATCCTATACAATTCCATAAAGGTCAATAAAAGAATACTAATATTAATTCAACAATGCTGTACATACTTTAGATACTACAAGACGTTTATAATAATTCTTATAATCCAGTAGAGCGGAGTTAACAGTTATTATAAGTCAAAATTAAACAACTTACTGTTAATTTTTATCGTTTAGTATAAGTTACACTATTAAACGTAAAGTACAAAAATATTTATGTTCTATTACAAAGAACTTACCTAATAGTACGTTGTGTACAGGGCCATATATGGGAAAAAGCTGCACTTTTTGATTGGCATATGGCACTTTCAGTGGTCATAGCTGATACCAAAAGGTAACTTTTCAGATAGGGAGCCACTTCAAATTCCGTGTAGGACACCAAAATGGCGGCCATTAAAGATGGCCACCATATGCCCACGTACTGTCCCACAATATTTGTTGTATCTCAGCTTCTAATTGTCTGATTTCAAAAATTATTTTTTTATATTAAAGCTGTTTTATAGAGGAAACTTTTTCATATTCAACATTTACCTGTAAAACCTAAGCATTCTGCAAAATCTTTATAAAAACACAAAAAATAATATTTTATGAAAGTTTTGGTCAGTACCATTATAGTTGTGCTAAGAACTCATCTTAAAATTTAAACGGGACATGGAAAGCACTAGGTTGATAAAAAGAGATATTTAGCTTTAGAAAAATCACACATTTTACTAAAATGTAAAGCAGGAATTAAAAGGAGGTAACAAACTATTATGAAAAAAAATACAAATCAAGAAAGAGTGCACATTGAGTGCTTCTCTATAATTTCAGATCACGTAGTCATCTTATTCATCTTCCACTTCATCATAGCTTTCACTTATTGATAGTCGACTTTGACTCCCAGAGCAGTTCTCGGAAAGTAGCGTGCATGGAACCTTAGCCTTAAAACAGGAGCATCTTGTATGGCATTCAGTGCAACTACACGTAACTAATTCTCTGCAGGCTGCCATAATTTGGGGAAGAGAAGACCAAACAGGAGTCCACTCCTCAGCAACCCTGGACCATCCCCATCCGTCTGGCTCTGGAGTGTTTTCCTTCCCTGCGCATGCACGACCCCAAACCTGGCTTGCCATAATTTTCTATGGTAATATTATAACTAGTTTTCTAATAAAAAAACTTTGTACTTTTGAATCAACGATGTAGTAGGACTCATTACAAATTGATCAACTACTTTTACTTATGTCAGTTCATCTAAGAATCTTCATCATGTTATTTTCTTATTTTTAATTCAACCAGTTTCAGAAAACTCCTAACTAAATCATTTACAGCCGTTGACTTAAGTTCTCACCTGGATTTTATTGTTAAACACATTTGCAGTTATCCTGGAACACTTATGTTGAGTCCCATGAATAAAAATAAAGGTTTTTTTCAAGTGTACACCATATTCGATTGGGTACTACAAAAAGTAGTACTTTTGAAATTATTACTACCATTGACTAGTTTTCTCATCAGCTATAAGACTTTCTTTTCACAAAGTAAAACGAGATAACTTGTTTGTCTATCTGTGTATCAATAATTATGATTTTTTTCCTTCCTTTAATGCACCACCAAATGTGTATAGAGACGAGATTTTGCAGTTTTTTTTAGAAAACTAGTTATTATTTCACCATAGATAATTATGTTTTTCTACTGCAATTTTTAAACCGTAACAGATAGAAAGAAAACTTAAATTTGTAAAATGTTTATTTAAAAAGTACCTTTCAAATTATATGAAAGTTGTTATACCTTGCTATTAAATCATTTTGAGTTTTCAACTTTCTTTTATTCTCCAAATTTGAGATTATTTAAAATTGGAAAATAACACGGAAAATGCCCTTACTTAAAGAGTAGCTCAAGAACAAGCTTGGAAAAAAATTGGCGCTGTTCCGTTCAGTAGTTAGGTTAATACGGTACTTAACTTTAAAGTCGTTTCTTAAAATGTTTGACCCATCCTGTAAATATGGTTAAAGATAATAATTTTTTTCACCTAAATGATGGGGGTGATGAGACCTTAAAATTGATGTATCACACAATCCATGTTTACATTTTAACACTTCTCAAAAACACCCCCACCACAAATAGGGCCCTATTGGGCATTTTTCAAAATTGAAATTAATTTTATTGGATTTGGCATGTCTACCTATGTACACAGCAGATATGGAAGGTTTTCAAATGAACGTGTCCATGAAGACGATAACTTGAGTAATTTCGATTTTGATAAAATTTTGTTTGAAGGTGTAAGGTGGAATAAACTTAAATGAGTTCGCGAACCAGCATGATCGGACAATGAGAACGGAGTTTAATGGAGGGTTTTATGGGGTAAAAATGGGTTTTTATTATTTTTTACCATTAAAACACAAAATTTATCAATTTTTCTCCAAATCTTTTTAAAGAGCTTAAAAAAACAAATAATTTTGTATATCAAAGTGTGATTTTAAGGTTATTGGAGAAAAAAAAAAATTCATTTAAAATTCCAATGTTATTCTTGTGGGGAATATTGTAAAATGTTGTAGTTAGCTTGTTTATAGATATAGCCTATTTAGATCAAACTTGGCACATTATTTCTTTTATACTAAGCTATTAATATTTTACTAAA